CACCATAGTAACCTCTTGGTTCCTCCTCGACTTCATGACCCAAAGAATGGAGGCATGAGTCTACAATATCCCCTTCACGACTCGTCTTAGGAAGGCGTGAAGAATCAACCTTATCGCGCGCCGAAACCGAACGGCGGCGCTCGTCAGGCATTTCTGAACAATCACCTGTAGCGAAAGTATCGCCGTGAATAGACATAGGCCTATCACAAGAACGCTGTCCAATCTCATCTTCTCGATCGACAGCACGTTCTCTAATCACTTTCTTTCCACATTTGCCCAACTCCGCTGTGGAGTGGGACCTATCTTCCTTATCTGAAAACATAACTAACCTATATTTACCACTATGAATCAAATAATCTAAATTTTTATTCACCAAAAAATTTTTCACATGTTCTGCCGCCGTGCAGTTTGAAGAAGAGGTCGAAGGTCACAGAAGGCAGGAGTTGGGTAATTTTAGTTTTGAAAACTGGTGAGCCGCCAAGCAGCTGGGTAAACGCGAATTGATTCGAAACCGAGAGAGGACGCAGTATAAGTAGCTGGTATCCGGGGGGTTCATTCACTGATGACATCGGCAAGCCGACTACATTCACTGAGAGACGCACTTGGCGTTCCATAGAAATTACCGGCGGCTCAACTTGTCGGCGGCTCAACCGGTTGGTTGGTGAATGACTTGGGGATCATCTTAAAAATTGATTGATCGTTCAATCTGGTTAATTTAGGTAGTTAGAACATTTAATTTAACGTACTACCTGATATTCATATTATTTTCTCATAATGATATTTTTAAAATGTTCAACTTTTAATAATTAAGTACTTCAATGCTATAAGTAGGCTAGGCTAGCCTAGGCCCTAGTCTTGTCTAGGCCTAGGTAGCCTAGCCTAGCCTAAGCAAGATTTATTGCCATTGGGGGCGAGTGACTTGAGACCTAAAGATTTAACAAATGCATTGGTTTGATTGATTTCTGGGCCCTTTGTTAAATATTAGAAAGCCAAAGTTACAACCAGGGAGATGTAAAACATGCTCATCTGTCCTGTCCCTGTAAACCAGAGTCGATTTTGCAGCATGGGTGATTTTTTTTAAAATTTATTTATTCAACAATATTTTGAGAGGTAGCTCAAACAGCAATGCTACAGAAATTATGAAATTGCAAATCAACCTTCAAATTTGTCGCTAATAAATATTTTGAAACAAAATTTGTTCCTGTCTGTGGGCTAGTAAAATATTCTGTGGGCTAGTAAAATCTCTAGTAAACTAGCCCAGTGGGCTAGTTACCAAAAAAAGTTAGGGGAAGCCCTGATTAATGGACCACACAAATTTAGTTAATAAATGGATGGATAAAACGTTGTCCATTGTGTTCATGATAAGTATACCGACTCAATATTTTGTTCTGTATGGTAATGGTAAATCGTCTCTGTGCACTTGAACCCATGACCCAAGATAAGATGGCATTTTTGCGTCAGGATAAATAATGCGAAATGATGCTTGCCCTACCTAACATGTTTTATATACTAAATACATTCCCAAATACAAATACTACTTCAAAAGGGCCCAGTGTTGTGTTTTGGTCTCTATTGAAAAAAAATTAATAATTTATCAAATGATTAGTATTTTTAGTAACTTGAAATTTTTTTTTTTCATTTTATTTCCTCTTGC